AGATGTACTCTGTGTTTGTATAAATAATTCAAATTTTAAAAGTTAATAGAATTTCATAAAAGGAAAAGTATTAAAAAGTGTTATCTGATCTACACATTGGCTTGCTATAATTGATAACATTACTTCTGGTGAATGAGAATGTATTATGTGGCAAATTTTTAAAGTTGAGAAAAATTATGATGATGTCAGTTAATCTGGAATACTAAGAAAGATTAAATAAAGGATGATATAAAGGCAATATAAGGAAATTAAGTCAGCATACAAAGAGAAACCTGCATTTCCATGTTTACTACATCACAATTAACAATAGCTATGACAAAGAATTAGCCTAGTTGCCCATCAACAGATGAAAACAGAAGTTATGGTACATATACAGAAGAATAAAATCCTGTTTTCTACAATAAAATTGATAAAAGTGTGTGGAAATCATTATGTTGAATGAAATAAACAGGTACAGAAGAGACAAGTACCATAGATCTCACTCATATGAGAAATTAAAAAAAATGTGTACCTCATAGAAGTTGAGGGTACAATGGTGGTTACCAAAGACCAGGGAAGGAAGGTAGGGGGCAGGTGACAGAGATATAGTGATCAATGGATACTGAGTTACAGTTAGAGAGAAATGAGAAGTTTGAGTGAGTATAGTTAACAATAATTTTCTGCACATTTTAAAAAGCTGGAAAAAATTATTTTGAGGATTTATGCCATAGGAGAATGCTAAATTTTTAAGACTTAAATATGTCTTAACAGCTTTAAATTTTATGCAATGTATATATATATATATATATATATATATATATGCATCAAAACTTAACATGGTACACCATTAATAAGTACAAAGTGTATAATTTTCTGTATAATTTTAAAATAAATGAAAAATAAGCAAATAAACAAAAATAAAAGATAGAAGACTTAGAATGGACTTTTCTCCAAAGACATAATGATGGTCAACATCTATGTAAAAAGGTGCTTTCTACAATAATAATTAGGGAAAATGCATATCAAAATTACGATGAGATATTCAAACTGAAAGAATGAGAATTATTAAAACAACAAAAAAAGATAACAGTGGCAAGCTTAAGGGAAAATGTGTCTCTGTGATTGAAATGTAAATCAATTCATCCTCTACGGAACAGTATGGATATTCCTTTAAAACTTTCAAAAAATAAAGCTACACATTATCAAGATAATACTAATACTCAAAGGAATTGAAATCCAAACCAAAATCGTATGTGCATTCTCAAGTCCATTATATGCTACTCATAATATGCAAGAAAGGGAAGAAACCTAAATTTCAGTTGGCAGATGACTAGAAAAGAGTTTGTGATGTATGCATGTAACGACTTATTCTTCAGCCATCATTAAAAGGACAATCCTGCCATTTCCAACAACATGGATGAACTCAGAGGACATGATATTAAAAAAAATGTTAGAATAAAATGCAAAGGTGACATGACCCTATTTATAGGATAAATCTAAAATAGTCTAACTCATAGAGCAGAGGGTGAAACAGCTTCATGAGGTGGAGAAGGGGGACATGGGAGATGTTAGTCAACACATCTGGCTTGAGTTGCACAGCATGAATAAGTTCTAGAGGTTTACACACCATAGTGCTGATATTGTCAATACAGTCTGTATGCATTACATTTTTTAATATGGTAGATCTTGTGTGATGTACTTATCACAATAATAATTATAAGCAAGAAGTTGGGAGCACATTTTCAAATGAGATCAGATATGTTATTGGAGAACTTTATAGCATAGAGTATGATGACAGTTTCAAATGGGTATATGTATCCCCTAACACATAAAGTCACATATTTTATGTGTGTACAGTTTTTTGTATGTGAACTATGCCTCAAAGAAGTGGTTTTAAGAAATAAAAATAGATGCAAAGAGGGTGTGAACTGTGGATGAGAGGATATAAAAGAATGTACAGGCTTTGAGAAAATTATATGTGTGTTTTTATACATTATGTATATAACAAAAGTCCTACAATATGTTGAAAATATTTTGAAATATACAAAAAGAAAGCCAAAACCAATATATTTTCATTATATATAGAAACATCACAAAAGATGACATACCAATGTTCAAAAGAATTTGGAAAAAAAAGTGCGCATCCTTGGTAATAAAAAATTTCAAGTTGAACATCATAATAATTTACAACTATTATCTTCTAAAATGATCAAATGAAAAATAATTAGCAATACCAAGTGAAAAAGTGTAGAAATACTGGAACTCTCTTCCTATGTTTTAAATATATCTCCAAATTTTCATGCTTCCTAGTAATCCACACTGACTATCCCATGAGCCCAGGGACAACTGCAATTTAGTGCCTTCTGGGATTCTGGCTATTTCCAAAATACAATGAAAATTAGAAAAAGCAGGTTTTTGATCTAAGTGCTTTAAAATAGCTGCCACAACATTTAGGCCTTTAGTGCTTTACTTATCAAGTAATAGAGAATGGGTTTTCAGAAATGGTTTAAAACTGTTAAGATAGAAGCATCTCTGTGACACGTATCATCAGGGAGCCTGCACCACTGGTCCCCAGGATGGACTTAGGCCACCATGCTATTCAGCTTTCCTAGCAACCTAGGTTCAGACAGGGAGATGTAAGTCCCACTTGTTTATGTTCTAAGTGCAGAGAATATGACCTGTACTTTAGAGTGGGTGACACACAAACATACTGCCAAGATTACTGACTTCTAAAATGAAGCTTTCCAACATGGGATAACTAATTCCTGGGAGAGGATGAACAACTACAAGCAAGGTACCTGAGTTTCTATGGGAACCTCTTTAAATATCCTGATAGTGTGAGATGAAATATTCCTTGTTGTTATCAATATTTCTAGAGCAAGCCTCATGGGTGGAATGACTCACTGAAATGTGTCTCTTCTGCACTTCCTACATCCTGCTCTAATGCACGAGAAACAGGTAATGAGGGTCATTTCTCCATAATAGTGAATCAAGTGAATTTATTCTAAATTCAAACCTTGGGATTTTGTTGAAATCGCTTTAGGCTTTGGTGAGCACAAAGATTGAGACTTATAAAAACACTCCCTTAAAACCGGTTTATTTGAAATTGAATTATCTGAGTAGTTTTCTTTTTAACACCTTCTTATGTTTCATACTCAAAGATGCTTACTGTAAGAGGAATTCATTTGAACTTGCATTTGTGCCTGAACACACCAAAATGTCACTAAAATAACCTAGAACTGCAAAAGGTAGGTTTTCAACACTGGTAATACTTATTAAATATTGTTATTTTTCATACACACTCAGCTTTGCCTTTCTATATTTGTCAAATGCAGTTATAGAAAATCTCATCCTTACCCCAAATTTTCAAATGAGTAAAAAAAAAAAATGTTATTAACCTAATTTAACATTGAACAATTTGATATATGCAACATTTTACAAGAACCAACTAACACCAGTGACAAGATAGCTCACTTAATAACCAAGATTCATCTTGAAAAGAAAAACAAAATTTAAATAAATCTCTCACACAGAGAAGACCTAAATATGGATATTAATGGACACAAATCATCACTTGTTAGTTCAAATGCAGGGAAGTAGGACTGTTTATGGCATCAACTACTATGGATAATATAGATCTCTCTGACTCATTTAAAATTAAAAAAAAAATTGTAAATAATTCTTCCTCAGTTTTTGCAGGGTCAAAAGTTTCTCTGAGTCTTTTCTCAAAATGTCAGTTCTGCTTCTCTGATGAGTTCATGCACAGTTATAAAAGTAACCAGAAGTTCCTATATGTAACCCCAGCACCATGGTGGATCTGTTCATGTAACAATTAATTCTCATAACAAATGAGGAGGTAGGGTTGTTATTCTCAGTTTATAAATGATGATGTAGGAGTGCAAAGTGGCAGGAAATGCACACAAGTAAGAGAATCTGCAACAAGAATCTATAAAATCGCTTAAAACACATGAAATGTTCAGAAAGCTTTAACTAACATTACCATTGTTTTTAGAACAATAAACATTAGTCTCTGACATTATTTCCTTACCTATTAAATTTATAAAACAAACCCAACCCCAAAGGTTATTCTATTAACATGTGTGTATAGTACCTGGTGCCTTATAATACATAAAATGCACATTAAATATTCAATATTACTATTATATAGTTAAAAGTTTTATCAAGTATTCTAGATTATTATATAGTATCCCTTATATATTTTCATTTATTTCCATCATTCTTTATACAATACACACACACACACACAAATTTAGTTTAGATGGACACAAAGCCTTTATTTTGTTTATTTATTTTTATGTTGTGCTGAGGATAGAGCCCAGTGCCTCACACGTGTGAGGCAAGCTCTCTACCACTGAATACAGCCCTAGCCCCTGATTTCAATCATTCTTTATACCATATATTATGAGTACTTTACCTGTGTGTCCTGTCTCCAGCTTTCACTCACTACTAAACCTCACTCTACTACATCCAGAACATACAAAGTCCTTTGTGATAATAGTAGCTAAGATTCCCCCTTCCTTAAATTCCTTGTCACCCTTCTATCCATTCTCTATTACATTTTATCATTCTCCATTTGCTAACAATAAAAAGCAAAATTCTTTACCTGTGTTAAGATATCTATTACATCCATCTTTTACCTCTCTTTTTTTGGGCTAAGCTGCTACAATGTGTGTAATCTCTTATGTCAATCCAGGCTTTGACTCATTTCAGAAAATTAATATACTCAGATGCAGATCACCTAGTGTGTTCACAAAAGTTCTTCATCTATACAATATTTTCAAAAATTCTGCATAGGAGGGAATTTGAATAATTTTAACAATTCAGAGTTCTTTGTTCCACTTGAAGAAATAAAAAATACATGCAAAGAAAAACAATAAAACATAAGATCCCATGACTCCATAGAATTCAGGCACGTATTATTTACTAGAATGGAGAAGTTTAATTAACCCAATGTTGTATCAATATTTTCAGGATATGTAATTAACTTTAGCATGAAGTTCATGGAGAATAAGAACAATGTGACAGAGTTTGTTCTTCTGGGACTTACCGAAAACTCTAAGATGCAGAAAATTATATTTGTTGTGTTTTTGTTCATCTACATCATCTCTGTGGTAGGAAATTTGGTCATTGTTATAACCATCACTATGAGCTCACTCTTGGGATCCCCCATGTACTTTTTCCTGGCCCATCTCTCATTTATTGATGCCTGCTATGCCTCTGTAAATACACCTAAACTGATTAGAGATTCACTTCATGAAAAGAAGACTATCCTTTTCAATGGATGCTTGGCCCAAGTCTTTGGGGAACATTTCTTTGCAGGTGCAGAGATCATCCTGCTTACTGTGATGGCTTATGACCGCTATGTAGCCATCTGCAAACCCTTGCACTATGTAACCATCATGAACTGGAGAGTGTGTGCCGTGCTACTGGGAGTGTCCTGGATGGGAGGCTTTCTCCATGCAACCATCCAGATCCTCTTCATCTTCCAACTACCCTTCTGTGGCCCTAATGTCATTGATCACTTTATGTGTGATCTGAACCCATTGCTCAATCTGGCCTGCACTGATATTCACACTCTGGGGCTCTTTGTTGCTGCTAACAGTGGGTTAATCTGCTCATTAAACTTCCTCCTCCTGCTGGTCTCCTATGTGGTCATCCTGCATTCCCTGAGAAACCACAGCTTGGAGGGTAGGCACAAAGCCCTGTCCACCTGTGTCTCCCACATCACAGTGGTTGTCCTGTTCTTTGTTCCCTGCGTATTTGTGTACCTGAGACCTGCAGTTAATTTATCTATTGATAAAGCAATTGCTGTATTCTATACTATGATAACTCCCATGGTAAATCCCTTTATCTACACTTTCAGAAATGCTCAGATGAAAGATGCTATTAGAAAGTTATTTATCAGTAAAGCTATTTCAGATGATAAATGAATGTGCCTAAAACCCAGCAGTGATTCAGCTGAGGAGAATATGCAGACAATTTGGAACACATCAGCAAAATATAATTATAAGACAAATATTTTAAAAATTGTTATTCAGAAACTTTTCATTGAGAAAGTAGAAATTGGTTAAAAAATTGGAGTCAATCTAACTTAGAACCATGTCATGTATGTTTGAAAACTTTTACTAACTCTGGGCCTGGTTTTCCAACTTTATCCATGTATATGGATTCATAGGTTTTTCCTCTAAGGAAAAAAAAATAGAAAGAATGTTGGTGATGAGCAATAATCACTATAACTATCAATACAGGTAAGCTCTGCTATTTTACCTGTAGGGCATTTTACTTATAGGACACTGACAGAAAGAAGAAATTTTCAATATACAACAGATATACTGATGATCTAGTAACCAAAATATCACTGGTATTTCAGATGA